GACCAAAACCTTGAAGTAAACCTAGCATCTCTATCAGAGACAATGGATATCGGCACTCCATGTCTTGACACGATCTCGTTGACATAAAGTTGGGCCAATCTTTCCAATGTATACTTGTCGCTAATTGGTAAGAAGTGAGCCGATTTCGTTAGTCGGTTCACAATTACCCATATGGCGTCGTGCCCCTTTACCATCCTTGGAAGTTTGGTGACGAAATCCATCGTGATCATATCCCACTTCCATACTGGGATCTCCATTTGTTGCAACATTCCAGATGGTCTTTGATGCTCGGTCTTCACTTTCAAGCACGTCAAACAATTCCCCAGATAGCTAGCTACTACCCTCTTCATACCAGGCCACCAGTAGCTTTCTTTTATGTTCTTGTACATCTTATTACTACCTGGGTGTATAGTATATTTAGACTTATGTGCTTCGTCCATCACTACAATTCTTAGATCTCCTAAACTAGGAATCCAAACCCGATTCCCATGTCTATATATTTCATCTGGTCCGGCTGTCAAGGTCTTAATTTGTCCAATCATTCTCTCCTTTTTGATATTCGTTTCAAGTAAGGCTTCCTTCTGGACATCCCGTATTCGATCTAGGAGCTCCACCTTAACATTCATCCACATGGCTCGAACCCTGATTGGTCCGCTTCTCTCCTTCCTACTAAGTGCATCGGCGACTACATTCGCCTTACCTGGATGATAGTGAATCTCACAATCATAATCCTTAAGTAGTTCCATCCATCTTCTTTGTCTCTTATATAGCTCCTTTTGATCAAATAAGTACTTAAGGCTCTTATGATCCGTATAAATCATGCACTTCGTACCGTACAAATAGTGTCTCCAGATTTTTAGTACGAAGACAACAGCTGCTAATTTCATGTCGTGAGTTGGATATTTCTTCTCGTGTTCTTTCAACTGACGGGACGCATATGCAATGACCTTGCCTCGCTGCATCAGTACACAACCTAAACCATCTTTGATGCATCGCTATAAACGAGAAAATCTTCTACTCCTTCCGGTAGTGCTAAAACTAGTGCCGTGCTTAGTCTCTCCTTGAGTGTCTGAAATGCTTCCTCTTGTTTCGTACCCCAATCAAACCTAACCGACTTCTTTGTCAGTGTCGTCAAAGGTGTTGCTATCTTGGATAAATCTTGGATAAACCTTCGGTAATACCCTGCTAGGCCTAGAAAACTTCGGATCTCCGTTACTGACTTTGGTGATTCCCAATTCATCACCGCATCAATCTTAGCCGGATCCACCTTGATCCCTTCCGCGTTGACTATGTGACCGAGAAATTGCACCTCATGCAACCAAAACTTGCATTTTGAGAACTTGGCGTACAATTGCTCCTTTGCTACTAGTTCAAGAATCAACCTTAAATGTCGTTCATGCTCCTTCTCATTTTTCGAATAGATCAAAATGTCGTCTATAAAGACTATGACAAATTGGTCCAAATACGGTCCACAAACTCGAATCATCAAGTCCATGAATGCCGCAGGTGCGTTGGTTAACCCAAACGGCATTACCACAAATTCGTAGTGTCCGTAACGAGTCCTAAAAGCGGTCTTCGACACGTCCTCTTCTCGAACCTTCAACTGATGGTATCCCGACCTCAAATCGATTTTCGAGAAACAGCTGGCCCCTTGCAACTGGTCGAACAGGTCGTCGATCCTTGGCAATGGATATCTGTTCTTTATCGTGATTTTGTTCAACTCCCGATAATCGATACACTCCCTCATCTTGCCGTCTTTCTTTTTGACGAACAAGATCGGTGCTCCCCATGGCGACGAGCTTGGCCGGATAAATCCTTTATCTAAGAGTTCTTGCAATTGCTTCATTAGCTCTTGCATCTCTGTTGGGGCTAAGCGATAAGGTGCCCTCGCGATTGGTACCGCACCTGGTACCAAATCGATCCGGAACTCTACCTGACGTTACGGTGGTATTCCCGGTAATTCATCCGGAAATACTTCTGGGTAATCCTTCACCACTGGTACATCACGTATGGCCTTCTTTTCGAGCTTGGCGTCGATGGTGTATGCCAAGTAAGCCACACAACCCTTCAGCAGACACTTATTCGCCTTAATTGCATTGATCAACCCTACGCAACCCTTCTTTCGATCACCGTAAACCTGGATCGTTTCTCCTTCCGGAGATTTAACCTTGATCATCTTTTTATTGCATAGTATTTGCGCATAATTGTTGGACAGCCAATCCATCCCTAAGACTACGTCAAAACCTCCTAGGCACATTGGCATAAGCCTAACAGGGAAATCCTTCCCATCTATAGCAATCGTGCATTCATCAAATACTTCGTCTATCTTACACTGACTACTGTCGGCTGTTTCTACAGTGTAGGTTTTGTCTAGTCTACAGGCACTCCTATTCAAATAGTGGCAGAAGGTAGTAGACACAAAACTACCATTTGCACCCGAATCAAATAACGTCGGGTGTTTCCCTGGACTCCTCCAAGGTCATGTTGTAAGCTCGGTCGTGTCCCTTAGGTAGCTCCTTCCTATTTTCCGCTCTCTTCCCGAATCCGTTATTCACTGTCTTTCCGTGGGATGTCACACTATTCCGACGCTTTGGGAAGTCAGGTCGTATATGTCCCGTAGCCCCACATTCGTAACAAGTCTTTCCTTCTGGGCACTCTCGCGCGGTGTGCCCCGGTTTGTCGCATTTGTAGCACGTCAGGCTCCTTGCTCTGCACTCTCCCCTATGTCTCTTGTTGCATTTGTTACATTGGGGAATAGTGAGTCCCTCGTTTCGTGTTTTTGCCATAGACGGAGTCSATTTCGGTTTCTTGTCGAATTTGTTCGATCCTTCCCACCTTCTCTTTGCCTCTCTTCTATCACCAGTCTCTCTAGCGTTGTTCTCCTCTGCCACCTTTGCCATCTCCACTGCTTGTACGAAGGTGGTCGACTTAGTCATGTCCATGTAACGTTTGATTTCGATTCTTAGGTCGTCCTTGAAACGACCTATCTTTCTCTCCTCGGTAGCCACCTGGTAACTGGCAAACCTCGCTTTTTCAAGAAACTCGTTAACATATTCTTGAACTGACAACGATCCTTGCTTTAACCTCAGAAATTCTGATTCGAACTTGTTCACTTCCGATTGTGTGCAGTATTTATCCATCATCATCTTTTCAATTTGCTCCCAAGTCATGGCAGCCATGCCCTCATCACCTTTGATTGCACACTCAGTCTCCCACCAATGCAATGCGTAGTCCACAAAGGTCGTAGCAGCATAAGTCACTTTTTGATCTTCCGCGCATCTACAAATTTTGAAGCTACTCTGCATCTTGGTTATCCAGTTCATCAAGCCAACTGGGCCTCTAATCCTTTAAATTCCTTCGGCCCGGTGCCTTTGAATGTTTTAAAGCTGCATCCTCTCTTATTTGCAGTCAACTCGGTTCTCTCGATGATGAGCGACTCCACCTTCTCTTTATCAGACACTTCCACCCTTTCAGGGACTTGAGTGTTCTCGTGTCGAACGCTTCCTTCCTCCCCACCTTCATTATTCTTAAGTCTGTCACCCAACATTTCTTTAAGCATATTTGGCAACGTATTCCAGAGGACTTGTGCCATTTGTTCAGCCATCACTTAATTTGTGAGAGGAATTTCTCCTCCTTGGCCCCCTTGGCTCCTACCGATAGCCAAACTAGCTGGTGCGGATGGGGTCGTACTCGAACTAGCGGTTCGGACACTTCCGCCATATCGACTTTGGGCTCGTTTCCGTCCCCGAACTGTCGGTTGGGTTACGCCATTGATACCTCCCCCATTGCGGGCGTTCCTTGTTGATCCGCGAGAAACCATACTGACACAATAGAGTATTATTGTTTCAACAAGGTTCTAGTGTCGACTTAATATATTACATTTATGTATATACATTATACATATACATATATAGTAAAATCACTATATATATCAGCGAAATTCATGATATGGAATTCACGTCGCAATTGCATAATGCTCCAAAAGATATATATATATATATATATATATATTTCGTTCTAATACAATCCTGGGGAGAGAGAGACATTACAAAATCCCATTTACTTACAAAAGATGGGATGCTTCACGGTTCTAAATACAGGTAAGTGTTCCAAAATCTATCGTAGCACTGGCTAGAAGAAAACTACCTAAACACGTACAATTAGTTCTCCTACTCAAAAGATCCTTCTCTCATCCCTGATTCCATGTCTAAAACTGATCTGTAGGGTAGTAAGGGAGATAAGGGTCCCTTACCCATTCTTCAAATGATGTGGATGGCCTGGAGTGCCACCACACACTAGCCCTTGGGCCATTCTTGACGCATCGGACCCATTCGGAGAAATAACCCCTCACTACACCAGCATAGTCTACAGTCATTCTCTTATAGAAGTGAACTCTGTCTCTGATTCTAGTGCCTACTGGGTGAGCAGCAATTCTCCGCTCCTGTTCAAGCACAACTTTGTCCCAAATCAGGCATGACACTGGTCCGACAAATCCGCATTCTCTTCAATCAGCTCGATTAGGGCTCCTCCTTGTTCGACATGTGCCCGTTGAAGATTGTTCAGCCATTCATTCAGTCTAGTATTGTCATCTAACGTTCTGGTCACCCTCTCTCTTAGCCTTGTGTTCTCGCCCCTCAAGTTCTTTATAGTCTCCATCATGTCCTCACGTGTAGGGGTGCGGGGCGTGTAGTCTCCTGAAAGTTCGGGCGTGGTCCCTTGCCTGATGGGCTCGCATGATGACGCTTCACCAGTGTGGGTTGGACTATCGCTTTCGGATCGGGTACCGGGAACCTGTCCGGCACTGGGGCGGTGACTGTCAATCGACCCTCTATTCGGTCCTAGCCTGTAAGGCGTCCTACGGGTTCCGTATCCGCGTCCGCACCCGCGTCTGGTAGCCCTGGTGTGAATGGTGCGAACCATGTCTCCTACAAATAAAAAGGAATACCAGTTCGAGTAGTGACGTAGGATCAAACTTAATCGCATGCTAAGCAACGCCAATACACAATAAACATGTGCTTCTAATAATCCTTTCAGTTTAAGCTTAGGCTAAGTAAATCTTAACCTATTTACCTTAAACTAAAGCTCTAACAATCTTCTCAGTTTAAGCTTAAGTAAGCAAGTTTTAGCCTAATTACCTTAAACTAAAGCTCTAACAATCTTCNAGCTAAGCAAGTTTTAGCCTAATTACCTTAAACTAAAGCTCTAACAATCTTCTCAATTTAAGCTTAAGCTAAGCAAGTTTTAGCCTAATTACCTTTAACTAAAGATCTGATACCAACTTGTAACACCTTCATTTTTTTTAGAATGTCACGTAACCTGATTCCATTTTCTGAATACATAGTCCAAAAGACGGCTAAAACATCACCGTTCTAATCGTTTACAACGGAAGTGTTTGAATCCCCAAAGTTGACTTAAGTTCTAGCCCGCTTCATACCAGGTTAAATTACAATAGATTAGTACAATGCTGCTAGGCAAAAACTAAAGATAAGATAACAATCTAGTAACTCTCTACGCGAGTCCCTTGCCCTTATCCATCTTCGAACTTTCTGGCCCTGAGATGCATACTATAGTCAGCTTATAAAGCTCAGTGAGTTCATGGTTTGCGTGAGTAAAGATCATTTCACATCATACATATCAACTTGTAAATTTTGTGCCATATAGTATGCATTTTCTGAAAAACATGCAATACCGAAGGAAACATGTATCTGTAAGTCACTGAACATACGAGATATCGCATAACGTTTAGCCGGYTATGGGTCATTTAGTCAYAAACACACCCTGGGTTAGATATTTCAATCTTAACTGGTCACCCACTTGTCCGGGTAGTGTTTTATACTGGTCGTGACTTACTRGTCAAMTGCCCACCCTTAAATCATCAAACTTTTAGTATGGATTAGCATGCTAGAGTTATTTGAAAACTGATTAAACACATAGCACGTAACCATTCATAAAATAGCATGCATGTAAAATATATCRTRACATGCAYGTAAACWGAAACATCATGCATACRTACACATCATCAGAAATTCATATYATGTAAAAATAATTTGTACTTAGGTATGCATCCCAGTGAAATCTCATGAAGACTCACCTGATAACATAGATTGCTTATCTAACGCTGCTGACTGGTAACCTACAATTTATAATAGCAAATAGCATATAAATGATTAATTTCTCCCAAAGGCTACATAAAAGTCAACTTACGGTCAACTACGTTGGCTAGGGTCAACCTTGGTCAACTATGGTTAAATGCCCCTCATATTAATCAAAATTATAGAAACGCGAGTTCCAACATAAGGTGNTTTGAATCCCCAAAGTTGACTTAAGTTCTAGCCCGCTTCATACCAGGTTAAATTACAATAGATTAGTACAATGCTGCTAGGCAAAAACTAAAGATAAGATAACAATCTAGTAACTCTCTACGCGAGTCCCTTGCCCTTATCCATCTTCGAACTTYCTGGCCYTGAGATGCATACTATAGTCAGCTTATAAAGCTCAGTGAGTTCATGGTTTGCGTGAGTAAAGATCATTTCACATCATACATATCAACTTGTAAAYTTTGTGCCATATAGTATGCATTTTCTGAAAAACATGCAATACCGAAGGAAACATGTATCTGTAAGTCACTGAACATACGAGATATCGCATAACGTTTAGCCGGYTATGGGTCATTTAGTCAYAAACACACCCTGGGTTAGATATTTCAATCTTAACTGGTCACCCACTTGTCCGGGTAGTGTTTTATACTGGTCGTGACTTACTRGTCAAMTRCCCACCCTTAAATCATCAAACTTTTAGTATGGATTAGCATGCTAGAGTTATTTGAAAACTGATTAAACACATARCACGTAACCATTCATAAAATAGCATGCATGTAAAATATATCGTGACATGCATGTAAACWGAAACATCATGCATACGTACACATCATCAGAAATTCATATTATGTAAAAATAATTTGTACTTAGGTATGCATCCCAGTGAAATCTCATGAARACTCACCTGATAAYRTAGATTGCTTATCTAACRCTGYTGACTGGTAACCTACAATTTATAATAGCWAATAGCATATAAATGATTAATTTCTCCCAAGTGCTACTYAAAAGTTAACTTACGGTCAACTACGYTGGCTAGGGTCAACCTTGGTCAACTATGSTTAAATGCCCCTCAYATTAATCAAAATTATAGAAACGCGAGTTCCAACATAAGGTGTATTGTCTAGCTATATATCTTAAAATGACTAAGTCTCTGGTAGAAGGCCAGAGCCTCTGTGGACGACCAGAGCCTTTGGTTGTATTGATAGAGCCTCTGGGCTCTTAAGTCCTTCAGGACCAGAGCCCCTCTGGTTGTATACCACACTTAGAAAATATTTAGTAACCGGTCCATCGATCCTCTGGTTCTAAATCACACTTAGAAAATATTTAGTAACCCGTCCATCGATCCTATGGCTCTAAATCACACTTGGAAAATATTTGCCATTCAGGACCAGAGCCCCTCTGGTCTCTCTTCCAGAGCTTCTGGTCTTCATGACCAGAGCCTCTGGTTGTACT